CGTTCGTGAGGGCCCTCGGGCCGTTCAGAGCCATCGGGAGACACTTCATGTGTGGAATGTACATTCCCTAGGGCTCCTGGCCCATCTCCTCAGAAGATGGTTAGACCCCCGTGGCACCCACCCCAGTCCCACCTTGATCCTCCCATCCTTCCAAGGTTGCTGGGGCAGTGGCACCACCGTGGAATCGGCTGCTTGGAAAGAGAAGATGCGAGGAAAACCACCCGACCAGCCTGAAACCCAGCCATGGAAGTGGAAGCCCCACCCTCTTGGGTTTTCGGATTTCATGGCCCACCGGGGCCATGTCATCCGAATTTGGAACCATGCCATCAATCATGTGTACGTCTTTTTCAAACCAACGCTGAAATCATGGTATCCCTGAAAATCAAAGCACCTTCTCAGAAGGCATATATTGGAGACGCTGTTATGTATGTTTGGAGGGTCCAAGTACCATCTGAGAAGGTGCTTGGATCCTAGGGCATGGAACTTGGAAGATGATGAGACATGGAAGAGACATGGAAAGTGCCGAAGAAAGTTGGAGGACCCTTTTTGCTCGAGTAGTGAGGATCGTGAGGACTATATAATTATGTTGCATCAGACTGGGTGTTTGGTCGGCCTTGGTCAGGTGACCTGGCGTGATGGATCTTCAGTGCTCCTAGATGTTCGTTGACATGCGACACATCACATAGTAGCTCCATCATAGGGCTCCTGGAAGAAACAATAGCTGCCGCGATCTGCAACGCGCCCCTCGATCCACAGCGGAGTTTCTTGCCTATGGGACAGCTGATGCAACTACTGCATATTGCTGTGCACCCTAAAGGTAAGCCAATTGTGCATTTGGACATGCCCTTCTCAGAAGGTACTTGGACCCTCCAAGCAAAGGTAAAAGTGTTTGCAACCACCTGCTCAGAGGGTATGTGGATCCATAGGGACTTGAATGGACAACCCCTGGAATTTTGCCTTTGGCATCCGCTTCGTCCTTGATCATCTCACACATATAGGTACAGACATCGAAGATGATTTTTGCCCACCCAAAATAATGAATTTGTCTTCTTCTGCAATCTCATGCATTGAAAGGAGGTGTGAACAAGTTGACCTTTTGCTGCCTAAAGCAGCAGTTCACACCTGGCATTTTCTTCAGCAAACCCTGGTGAAATTCACATGGAACAAAACGGAGCCTTTTTGAATCCTTTTGAGTTCACATCAGCTTTGCACCTCCAAAGCCATAGAATGTTCGACCACCGCCCGTAACGAATCAGCAGCCTTTTCGGCATCGGCGAAGACCTCGGAGACGAGGTCATTGAGATGGGTCCCAATGTGGTGCCTTTCGGCAGCAGTGAAGCCAGTCGTTCGCCGCATACCTAGAGCCGTGGTATGCCTGGTTTTGGGGGAGGCTCCAGCAATAGGCAACTGTAGAATCGCATGCCACAGATGTGAGTCAAAGATTGTCACAACTGATAGAAGACATGGTCGGTATGGGTGCCATATCTTCACATGGTTCACGTGTGTTCACGTTCTGCTTGCTTGGTTTTTTGTTTTTTTGGGTCCATTCAGGCCCCCCTGCAGGTCAAGAGACTGGTTCACCCTGTTGGGCAAGAGACTTTGTACCAAGCCCTGGGTATGAATCCCCAGTGGTTTGTTGACACATTATTTCTTCGGAGGCTTGGTTCAACTTGGTGGCTTGGGCACTAGTCATTCAGTGGCTTCACTGTCAATTGTCATGTTTCTGTGAAGGCTTGCTGCTCCCTCATTCCTTGAATGCAGCATCATCATGAACCTTATTGTACCTGCCTATTTTGCTGCAACTTGGGTGGCACGTTTACGCCTCCCTGTGTATTTTTAGAAAGCGCAGTTCACAGTTAGACTTAGACCCCCCCCGAAAACGCTCCCCGCAACCAATCCCAAACACCTCATTCCGAAGGGCTTTGGAGCGAACGAAGAATTGCGGAACCCAGTTCCGCCAGGCATATCCCGACCTACGTGCCCGAGCTGACTTTAGACGCGGCGACGCATTTTCACGTTGGGGCTCTCAGGAAGCGGGCGTAAGCTTTTTGTCATTCAAGGAGTCAACTCAGGCAGGGGACTGAAGAAGTATTTGCGAGCCTTTCTATTCGAACCAGCTGTGGCAAAGTGGCCAGGAACAAATTCAAGCAATTTCATGGTCTCAAGTGAGGAAGACTTTGATCAGCGTAGCATGTCTTTGATTGTTGCCAAGACTTATCCCCTTCAGTGGGCCTCCAGCTTGTCAGACGGCTAGGGAGTAATGTATAGAAGAGGTTCAATCAGTAGAAAAAGACATTGGTTGGAAACACAGGAGCAACTGATTATGATTGATTATGTTGTTTGCTGAAGCTGCCGGTGCCCTTTCTTGTTTGGTTTTGGTGTTTTTGCACTGTGTCCAACAGTACCAATTTGTTTCATTGCTTTGTCCAGACAGAACATTATCGGCTCATGGAATGCCAAGCCGTATGTAGTTCTTCAAGCACAGATCTATCAGCCCTTCGGTACACTTTGGGTCGAGCAATGTACTGAACTTGCTGTTGATCCGTAATTAGCTTCTAAATTGGCTCCGTTCCAAGACCCCAGAGTCTCAAGATTCTGTCATTGGTGCCGCAGCCAGAGCCAGTGCCCAGACGCGTCATGTTCGACCTGTCCGACGGCCAGCAGCGGGTCGCGATGTGGATGTTGCAATTTCCGGGAGCCGACTTACCTCGGTACCTTAGAACATGGGACATGTCGGACATAAGCCTGCCTTATGAAAAAACACATGGGGCACAAGATGGCACAAGCCTTTTTAGAACTGGTACAGATGGTTTGAGGTACACAGGTCGACTCCGACCGGGCAGCCCGGGCAGCACCGAGAGAATCCGAGAGACCAAGGTTTGGTGCTATCCCCGGGATGGTTGCTCCAATGGACGCTGCGTCGGGGCCCCGGACGGGCCATCGGACATACGGGGCCCGAGTGATACGACCTTCGACATGTGCTGGATCGGAATGAGGATATATATATATATATATTACATATATATATATATGTATTATACACACACATATGATTATGATTATGTACATAACTACATACATATACACTATTTGCAATGTTGGATCTTAAATAGTGTGAACGCACCCTAACAAACAATCGAGGGAGTCTGGATAGTAGCATTACCACCAAAAGTAAGTATAAGGAGTAGGAGTAGTAGTAGTAGGAGTAGCAGTAGCAGTAGTAGTAGAACATACCTTAGTTTCCAAAAGTGATGTTACAAAGATGTTGATTGTTTCGAACAAGGCTTAACGCTTGATTTAGCTAAGACAACGTAGTTATTTTTGCGTTAGACACTAATCAAATAATGTTTTGTAGTATTTAGTCAAACAACTACTTTAAATATGCTTAAATTAAAGTAGGTTTTATTGTAGAGGAGTAAGCCAAGATTATAATTGTACCGACCGTATATACACAGTATATATACTTTAAAATTGACACTGTTTAGTATATTTGCTTATATTTATCCAACAGCCGGGGGTATAGTCGGGTATAGTTGTATCGTTTGTTATTTGTACCGTACTGAAAAATTGGGTTTATTGTTATGTTGACTGTAGTTTTAGGTTTGATGTGAACCTTATATGTATGATACCCCCTGCATAATTGAATTTAACCCTCAGACGTGCCATCAATCACGCAGTCCCTGATGAAACTCATCAAGGAACTCAAGTGCAGCATGTCCATGGATGTTGTTGGCCCAAGCCAAAGGCAACTGATGTGGGGCGCTTGTGCATCCAGTTACGTAGCCTTCTACTTGTAGCCCCCGAATTGTGACTCACGGAAGTGGAGACCTCCCGGGTGCCAAGCAAGGCAAGTCGTTTGGCAAGTCGAGGGGCGGTAGAAGCCATTGTTGCAGCTGTTAGAGAGAGAGAGAGAGTGTCCCTTCGACTCGACTCCTCGGAATTCATGTTGGCAAGGCAGGTGGTTCTTGTCAGTTTGTTCTGAGGTTCCTTGTAGCATGTTTAATGTTTTAGCCAGATGAGCGCCAAGTACGAAGCCTTTACAAACAGTCCAGGTCCACGTTTGGGGTCGGACCTCGGTACGGGACATGGACATCCTTTTTCAAGGAACCCCGTTGAAGAGCTAGACTCCATCCCCAACATCCAGCAGCGGTCAACATGGTGACAAAAGGGTTCACTCCAAATCCAACATCAAAAAACGACAAATCCACCACTTCTCCTCAATCGTGCTATGTAATTTCACTTCCATACACTTGAGAAATCGATGTCAAAGCCAGCACATCCATTGATTGTTCCGGTCGATGTGGCCAATCGCGGCCAACGACCGGCCGTCAGGTTTCGTCCATAGCCCTTGTGTTTGGATGCACGACGTGTATTTGTTCACACTTAGCCAAGCTCAGGTTGGCTAGGAGGCAGGTGGCAAAAGAGAGGCCAGTGAGGCCCAGTGGTGTATTAAAAAAGAGCACGTTTTCCAATGTTCAACTGTCAGCATTTCCATATCATCGGTTGCCACCGAGTTGGCTCATCTCGACTCGAGGTCATGCCTTCCAATAACGTTGGCCTTATGGTGCCTATCACCAAGGGCTTGGCGTCGACCACGAATGTGAGGCCCTCAGCGAATGGAGGCTGTGATGCCCAGACACTCCATGGGACTGGCATATATATATACACACACATATATATATATATATATTCACCCTACAATCACCCCAGGTCAACCACCACAACTGATCGGTAAACATGCCAGTCGCATAGATGGTTCGGGATAGGTGAGGATGGCTCGACTTGTTGAGAGGATGCGTTCAAGAACAGCCTCTATTTAAGATCGAACATGTATACTGTATATTATATGTAGAATTATATAGGTTCATGCGGCTTCTACACTTTAGTACACAGACGGAATTTGCGCGTGCTGAACTGGCGTTTTTGGCTCAGATCCTCGTGCTGGCTGAACCTCTTGACGTTTTCGTTTTCCCTCGGGCCGTCGCGTGCGCCTAAAGGACATGGCCTCCGGCTCGGCAGAAGACCCTGCATGGTTAGTGGACATGATCATTCAGTTTGTCAGCTCTCCATCATGGAATGAACCTATCAACAGTTTCGTGGCGGAGAAGTGTGTGATCTTCGACAACCTTGATGATGCTTAAATTTGAACACAGTGTGATTTGTACTGGGTTCCTCCGTTTCTTTTAGTATTTCTCGGATTTGCAATTCAGTTTTGCACAACGAAGCGGGTCAACATTTATCAACATTGTGGATTCATTAGATACGAAGAGAAGGCATGGCAGATCTGGGCAGCCTCTTGGAGGATTCCTCGATCCAGCATCCCATCTTCCATCCTCCAAAACCTCAAAGAAAAAAAGTCACCAAAGACTCCATGGGACTGGCATATTTGCCTGATTTTGCTGATCAGTTGGGGTGGTTGACCTGGGGTGCCTACATTGGTGGCATTTCAGTCCCATTCGTCGTGTTTGGGCAGCCACTGAGGACGAGATGAAACACGAGTACATGGAGTGCCACCAAGAGTTTAGTGGATTGGTGGAGAGCCTTCTAGCAGCACACCTGCTGGAGGTGGACATTGCGCCCGAGGACTTCGAACGACAGGCGATTTTGCCGGTCTTCATGCGGATGTTGGGCAGCGAACGACAGTTCATGCCTGGATCCGACTTGAGGGTACCTTAGACACATGACCCGAACTAAAAACAGCTTCGACTGAGGTCCATTGTATGTTGCACAGGGGCAAGTGGCGTGTCTTTTTTGGTGGGGTCCTTTTGCATCACCTTGGTCTCATCATTAGTGAAGAGACCGAACCGTGTGGCGTGAAGAGACTGAAACACTCAGTGAACAGTGTGCTGGACAATCCTCGTTCGTCCACATCCCATCACCACCGCCCCCAGCTGTTTATTGAATGGCCCAGTAACCTGTGACAGTCGGTGAGCAATTATACCAGGACACCCTAATAAGGGGTGTCTATTGATAGCCCGTTATGTAGTTGGCTGGCGGCTGATAGAACGCCGCCAGCTTTTCTTCACTTTTTTGATCTTTTTTGCTTTTCAGTTGACGCACTTGTGGAAGCGCAGGTTACAAAATGAAGTAGTTTTTCCGGAAATTCTGGGTCATCAATTTTCACATGAAAAGAAGAATTCATTGTAAATGTCAATACGAAAACAACCTGTCATGATGATAAAACGAAGCGGCGTTCTATCAGCCGCCTACCATGTAGTTACGTATCAGACGGGATGCGCGGGCGTTGTAACCGAAGGGACGCATGACTGAAGTCGCGGACTTTTGGCAACCGCGGCCTCAGGGCTTGAGGCAGTAGTACTGTACTGCACAAAACCTTGTTTTGCTCAAAGTGACTGATATTTTCCCTATTGGTAAATATTATTTTGCATGGGGAATATGTTGTTCTGTTTTCCAGGTTCCTTAAGCGAAACCAAGAAAGGGATCGAGGTGGCAGGGTGACGCATGACTGAGCCAGGTCATGGAAAGTGGATTGAAAGATGATGAGCGGATGCAGGGGGTGGTCTCGCAGTTGATGGCTGCAGAAGACTTCTTGACCTTCAGGGACATGATGCTAAAACATCACATGCAGATGCAGCAGGCAGCCGAAGGTAACCTCGCTTCTACTCTTGTGCAAGTGCCCTTTGCTTTTTGTTGACTTTAATCACAGCAGTTGCCCTTGGTTCAATTCATTAAGAATACCACAGACTGCTCTTTCCTAGACAGAGCTTTTGGACCCTGCGCACGCCCAAGGCACCTATCATGGCCCATCTGGCATGACACCAGAGGAGGAGAAGTTGGCCAACGACGCTGCCATTGCAGCAGCCATCGCTGCAGACGCCTCCACCATGGAGGAGCAAGCGTCTGCTGTGGCCCGCGGCGCCCACTCCGCCCCCAGCGCCGCGTCGGCGCCGCCGCCGCCGCCGGCCTCCGCCGAGGAGGAGCGGGCGTTCGGCGCCGCGGGCGGCGCGTACGGGCGCGCGGTGTATGGAGGGCAGAAGAAGCCGGCCAGCAACGAGAAGGCTGCAGCGATCCGGAAGGCCTTGTTCAATGGTTTGAAGAGATGAGTGGCACTCGACATGGATCACCGACATGGATCGAGAGTGAGCACTGCTGCATCGTTTCACGTTTTCCGTGTCCTAGAAGTGGTCGAGAAGGACCAAAAATCGTGTCCGGGACTTGGACTGAGGCTGCACAGCCTACAGGGCGTCCAGTTCTGGAGTTGCTCATACCAAACCAAAAACAGTACTCAATGAAGCAAGGACCAGGTTTTACGTGGTTCTATGGGTTTTTGGACCTGTAGGGATAGTTTTATTGTATTTATTTCTTGGACAGTTCTAGACCTTGGGTTCAGCACTCTGTACCCTAGCCTCTCATCCGCCAGCCCCGCCACCATGAGCACCCGGCACCGCCGCTGAGAACTGGGTAGCCACGACGGGCACCAACTTCGCGCTGCGCTTGCCTCTGGCGAGTGACTACGACATTGGCCCGGGATCCGCAGCTGATCTCGTCGGTGTTTAAGAGAGAGAGGTTCTCTTCGGCACTCCAGCTGAATGGGAGTGTGGAAAAAAGATGAAAAAAGAGGCTCCTGATCACTCCAGAAGGTCTGAAAAGATTGTTCCTATTACATTGACCGCGGCTCGACCACTGCAATGTAGAGGCATTGTCTATGATGAAATCCCGTGGCATTGGTCGGTTTCATACGGCAGTGACATGCATTTGTCCCCACAAAAAGGTTGGAGTAAAGGTCGGAGTGGTTCCCTGTTTTCTTCTCCGCCACAGAAGGCTTTAGAGCTGGAGCAAGCGCCCCCATTTTGTATCTATAGAATGCGGGACCCAACGCTCATCCCCAAATTCACAGGGATCCTTTTTCAATATTTGTCTCCACTTTCTGAACCTTGCAGGCTTGCAGGGCCAACTCACAGTGGGCGGGAGGTTAGAGGTGGGGGTAGGACTTTTGGTTATTCCTGTTTGTCACTCCTTTTGGTCACTTCCGCGAAGGTGAAGCTTGGCCACGTGCAAAGATCATTACCTTTGACGGTGCCTGGGAAGGAACAGGACCTTGAGTCACACTGGATTTGTTCTCTGCCATAAACCATCATCAACCGCGGAAGTCAATGAGTCAAGGACCCGAGCCTGAAATGATGTCGAACTACTTTTCAGTTTACAAACATTCGTAGCCATTTTCAAGGTCGTGCAGTCTCTTAGGGGTCCAGTCGTACCGAGCCTCAGGTTCGGTACGACTGGACCCGACAAGGGCACCTACATAACAGTGTTGAACACATCACCGTACCTGACAAGGTACGACTGGATCCCTAGGGAGTGATCTTTCTCTTGATGACAAGTTCTTCACCCTCCATCGAAGGGACGCCTCGCTCGTGTGTGTGTGTGTGTGTCCACCCCTGGACAAAGGGCTCTTTACCACCAACTCGAT